TTTTGGTACCAGGGATTGAACTCAGGTCCTTGCGCTTGTGCAGCAGGCAGCGAAACCACTAAGCTAAATCCACGGCCCCTTTGCCCATTTTTTAAATTGAATTGTCTTTATACTGTTGAATTGTATTAATTTTTTTAAGGTCACATTTAATGTGATTAATTAGTATCTGGCATCTTATTTAGAGTGTAACACCCCAGCTTTGGTACAGGAAAATCTTTGTTTTAAAATATAAACATATTATGTGTGATAGGCTGTTTTTAACAGTAGTTTAAAAAGACAAACACAAAAACCTTGCAAACATACAACTTCCTAGCAAAATTTCTAAGTATATAATTCTCACATAAGGCACTTCCATTAATTCTCAAATAAAAGTTTTTTTGTAGTCTTCATAAATTATATAGTAATAATGTTACTTCAAGTAAAACTTTATTAAATACTCAATTTTGCCATAAATATCTTTACCTCTGAAAAGAATAGTGGATGGGCATCAAGTTCTGTGCAAGATATTTAAGTGAATGTACTCTTGGGGTTTTTTTAGATTTAGAGAATTGGTAATATTTTATCTTGTTGATGTTGTTCAAGAATCTTGAAATCTTCCAAAGGAAGACTGCTTAAGGCAGTTGGTAAAATGTGTTCTGATGTGCCCTTAGGTAATATGTTATTTGTTTCTAAATTTTTCATCAAGCATGTAGCTTTAATCCATCTTCGAGTTGCTCTACGTTCTTTTTGTAGGCAAATTTTCATTTTTCTTCTTAAGCTGGCTGTTTCTTTTTCCAGTTTAGTTATCCTCTTTTTTGCTTCCATAGGATTCCTAAAGGCATAACTGTGTTCAAGCAGTACTTGTTGATTACTAATGTTTGATTTTAAATTAGATGGTCCAGGGAGCGAGCAATTGTTGTTTTTCTTCAACAGATTCCTTGATTTTAGTTCCTGTGGAAGCTGATGTTAATGTGCTTGTTGTAGGTAGCTGCACAGCCTGCTGCAACGCAATTGGTCGGCATTTCCCTCGCCCCTCATTCGGCGCTATCTTAAGCCTGTTCTGAGGCACTGGCTGCTAAGCTTCCTTCAGGCAGAGGCTTAACAATCGAGGCAGGCGAAGGGCCCCACGAGTTTAGTGGTGACAGCGGGGTGGAGAGAAGGGGTGTGTATGAAGGGTGGGGCGCAAGAAAGGTTCAACCTTCCTTTTCTCTTTATTAATATGACGCATTTGAGCTGGCAGAGCCGACCATCGTGCAGCTCCCAGCACCTTCCTTTGCCTTCACCAAGACGGCGGACACTGCCCGTTCCCTGTCCCTTCCTGTCTCCTGAAAGAAATACGTCTACTGCGTCCCTTTGGGAGTGGTCCTCAGAGCAATTAAAAGTGGTGTTTTCCCCTCCCTTCACTACGAAACTTTCTCAAATCTGTAACTAAGAGCAAGCCGGCCCATTCCGGCCCGCACCCAGCTGTGCCAATCTAGAGTCGGGGTGCCTTGCAGACGGGAAGGATGAGCCAAATGACAGACTAGCGACTACAAATCTCAGGGAGCAGTAGCACGTTGTCCACGTTAACGCGAGAATTGAGAACCTGTATTAATTATACATCTTGGACCCTAGATCATTATCAGATATATTATTTGTAAATATCTTCTCTTATCTATGAGTTTTCTATTCATTTTCTTATTCGTGTACTTGATGTGCAAACGTTTTTAATTTTGAGGAAGTCAAATTTATCTATTTTTTCTTTGGTTACTCGGACCTTCAGTACCATAACTAAGAAACCACTGCCTATTCCAAGGTCAGGCATGTTTATACCTATGCTTCCCTCTAAAGGTTTTATAGTTTTAGCTCTTACATTTAGGTTTTTGATTATTTTTGGTTAATTTTTATATATTGTGTGCAACAGGGATTCAGATTCATTCTTTGTGGATATCCAGTTGTTTCAGTACCATTTGTTGAAAAGACTATCCTCTTCACATTAAGTAATCTTGGCATCTTTGTTGAAAATCAGTTGACCATCAATGTATGGGTTTATTTCTGTACTCTTAATTATATTCCATTCATCCACATGTCCATGTTTTATCCCACTGTTAACAGTATTTTTAAGCAGTATAATTTAAATTTAATTTCTGCCTGATATGAAGCAAGAATAAAAGTTCATTTTTGTTTGTAAAGTGCCCTGCTGTTACTCCAGAAGCATTTGTTGAAAATCTATTCCACTACTGAATTATCCAGGCACCTTTGTCAAAAATCAGTTGCCCATGCCAGGGATTTAGCTCAGTCGTTCCGCCACTTGCCTTGCAAGCACAAGGACCGGAGTTCGATCCCTGGTACCAAAAAAAAGTGCAAGGTCCTGAGTTCGATCCCCAGTACCAAAAAATAAAATCAGTTATCCATATAAATACAGGAACTAAAAAAGGTTAGAGAGTAAATATTTGATTTTGTGTGTCACACAGACTCTTTCTCAACTAAACTTTGTTGTTGCAGCATGAAAATAGCTATAGATGATATATAAATCCATATGCATGGCTGTGTTTCAATAAAATTTTATTTGTTAAAGAAAAAGGTGGGTGCCAGGGACTTAGTTCAGTGGCACCACACCTGCCTCGAAAGCACAAGGTCCTGAGTTTGATCCTCAGTACCAGGGGGGAAAGAAAAAGAAAAGAAAAGAAAAAGGTGGGTGGTAGGATTTAGCCCATGGGCTATTGTTTGCTAACTCAAAATCCATGTGACTGTTCTTATGCCAAAATCACTTGCTTAATGACTGTAGCTTTATAGAACATCTTCAGATCAGACAGGGTAATTCCTCCAAAGCTGACTTTTTTCAAAATTATTTTGGTTATTCTTTACCTTTCCGTATAAGAAATGATGTAAGGATAAAGTTTCATTTTTCTTCATAAAGAGTCCTACTGTTTCTCTAAGCATTTGTTGAAAATCCTTTCAACAAATTTTATGATCAGCTTGTCAGTTCCTTTAAAATCATATTATGATTTTGATCAGGATTACATTGAATCTATGGATAAATTTGAGTTTTCAAATCTATGAAAAAGGTCTATATCTCCATTTATTTAGATTTTCATTAATTTTCCTTTGCAATCTAATATAGTTTTCAGTATATAATCTAAATTTTTTTGTTAAATTTATTCCTTCTAAAAAAGTTACTCTTAATCAAGAAGATGCTCCCTTCTTCTATTCATAGTTTGCTGACTTCTGTCATTAATGAGTTTTGTGTTTTCTCAAATGCTTTTGCTGTATTTCATTTTTTTTCTATATTTCACTTTGAAATAATTTCAAACCTACAGAGAAGCTGCAAGAACAGTACGAAAAACTGCTCTACTCCCTTCACCTAGCAACCCCATTCAAGTTGGCAATTGCCTCAATCATTCCTTTATAGGCAAAGGATGCAATCCAAGGTCAGAGATGTATTTTCTGTCAATTCTTCAATCTTCAAAGAAGTCAGTTCTTTGACTCCTATGACAGTAAGGTTTTCCAAGAATAAAGATCAATCATTTTGTAGGATGTCCTTTGTTATGTATTTGCTTGTTGTTTCTTCACAAATAAATACACAGTATGTGTTTTTGGCAGAAAACACATAGTGATCTTATGTTCTTGTCCTAATGGGCTAGTACAATGTCTACTTTTTGTGATATCACTAGTAATATTAAATTTGGTCACCTGAGTAAGGTAATTATGCCAGTTTTCTCCACTGTAGAATCATTTGTTTTCCCTCTGTAGTTAGTAAGTATTTTCTGGGGCAATTCTTGAGGGTATATAAACTTTTATCACTAGTAAATGAGGATTTGGGATATTTACATATCTTGATACTTAGTTTCTAAATCAATTATTACTATGATAGTTACCAAACGGTGAATTTCCAAATTCCATCATGTTATGGTTTAGATCTTAAATGTTCCCAAAAGTCTCACATGTTTGGAAGGTGACTGGATCGTGGGGGCACTATCAGCCACTTGTCTCAATAAGATCTGAACCCTGAAAAGCTATCTTCCTTGCTTGGGACTGATTAAGGGCCATTAGACAGGAAAGAAGTAATGAAAGGTGGGAGGGAAAGTCAGAGAGAAAGATGAAGGAAGGAAAGGAAGGAAAGAGGAATCTTTTTCTCCTTTTTTGATACAACAAACAAAAGCATTCTTTATGTTTTTTTGGGTTTTTTGGGTACTGGGGATAGAACGTGGGACCTTGCACTTGCAAGGCAGGCGGCGGAACCACTGAGCTAAATCCCCAGCCCAACAATAGCATTCTTGAACCTTAAAGATTAAGGGATTAATTTCAGATAAAAAAATGCACAGGAAGAAAAGAAAACATTTTGGATTGGTAAACTCATTAGAGCCCAGTAATCTATAAAGGAAATAAACCACTACCTTGGCTTGTTCTCAGATTCTCTGCGCACACAATGATGTCCCTGCTCATAATACACAAGGGCACAAATACATAACTCAGTCAAGGGTCAAGCAAAGATGCTGCTATGTATTGGAAATTTTCCTCCCAGTTCTTAAACAAGAATGGTGCCTCACCCTCCTGAATCCCAAGCCCATTCCTCTAATTTTTCCTTGGCAGAAAAATAGAGTTGTATGGTTTGATGGGGTTTTTTAAAAAATACACATTTTTAAGTTACCTCAGCAAAACACACTTGGATCTTTAGCTTTTTCTACAGTTACATATCCACAAAGCCATTACCTTGAACCTCTGACTCCGACAGAAACTGATGCAGGTCTGTATCGTGAGTTTGTTGGATGTTTTACTGGTGCCAGTTAGAGGAGGTGGGTTTCCATGATCCTTGTAGCAGCCAAGATTTCCAGGCACTAGAGAGAAAGAAAAAGAAAAAATAGAATTTCACAACATCTGGCTGTGAAACACGAAAAAGGAAAAGCAATCTGTGCCAGGTACTTTCATCTCAGCCAATATTTCCACTTCTGAGGTACAAATAAATAACAAGCCAGAAGCTTTACAAGTGGAAGCCTCAGCATTCTCTGCTAAACACCATGTTTTTGCTTTATATTGAAGAATATAAGAAACCCATATCCCTCTTTAATGAATCCAAAGACATTTCATTTTAGCATGTCAATATGGATAGGATTTACTATAGAAGAGAAAGGGGAACATTTTCCTGAAAATAGAGAAGTTACAAATGTAAATTATGCTTCATAGTTACTGAGGGCAGGAAAAGCTCTCAGAAGCCCATTATGCTATAATTTATACTCAAATCCCTTGTTTCTTAAAAAATGTCATAAGTGGGTTTCCCCAAGGCCTCTTGATGAGTGAATTAGTTTCCTATTGCTTCTGGAAAAAATTACCCCAAACCTACTGGCTTATAACAACATACATTTATCATCTTCCAGTTCTGAAGGCCAGAGGTACTACTTGGATATTACAGGGCTAAAATCAAGGTGTCAGCAGAACTAAATCCTTCCTGCAAGCTCAAGGGAAGAGTCTGTTCCTTGCCTTTTCCATCTCCTAGAAGCTGTCCATATTCCTTGGCTTGTACCAACATGCCCCCTTCTTCTGTCATCACCTACCTCTTTCCCTCCTTCTACTTTCATGGTCACAGTGCCTTCTCTGACTCAGAACTTCCTGCCTTTCATTGTTATAAGGACCTTTGATTACCCTGGATGTGTGGATAATCCAGGAAGATCTCTCCATCTCAAAATCCTTAACCACATCTGAAAAGTCCCTTATGCTATCAAAGATCATATATTCATGGACTCTAGGGTTTATGACATAGACATCTTTGGGGGGGGGCATTATTCAGCCTACCAATGAGGACATTAATGTTTTACAAGCACATATCAAATGTTTTGGTGTAGTAAAAAAAAAAACTATCTGATAAATACAGGAACTCAAATACAGGTACCAACTTGATAGACAGCGTTCAAAGATAGATTTCAATTATCTTCCTATCAACTAAATGTTTGTATACTACCCTAATGTAACAAAAAATTATGCCAGGCATGTTGGTGCACACTTGTAATCCCAGCACTCAGGAGGATAGCTGTAAGCTTGAGGCCAGCTTGGGCTACATAGTAAATTCAAAGCCAGCCTGAACTATAAAGCTAGACCCTGTCTTAAAACAAAACAAAACATCCCACACACATTTGGCCTCTCATTCCTGCTCCCAATTCCTGTAAGTTTCCTAGGTGATTAGAGCATCTTTTGTTCTAATGAGGCAATCCTTGGTGGGTTCCTGGCTAGCTTCAGGATGGGGGCTGGTCACCAGAAAGGCCATATCATGATTAAAAACTTGAAACTTTCAGCCCCGTCTCCAATCCTCCAGGGAGGCGAAAGGGGTTAGAGATTGAGTTAATAAATGGTCATTCCTACATGATGAAGCCTCCCTAAAAATTCCTGAAACATGGGGTTCAGAGAATTTCTGAGTTGGTGAACACAACCATGTGCTGAGAGGGTAGCACACACCACAGGGACAGAAGCTTCTGTGCTCAGCACACTTTCTGTCTGGCTGTTCATCAGTATTTTTAACATATCCTTTATACTAAATTGATAAATGTGTTTCCAAGATCTGTGAGCCCTGATAGCAAGTTATAAAACAGAGGGGAGGTTGTAGGAACCCTTGAATTGTAGTCAGGTTTGACAGAAATGTGGCTAACCTGGGGCCCACTACTTGTAACTGTATCTGAAATGGACTGCAATCTTGTGGAATTGTGCCCTTAAACTGTGAGTCTGTACTAACTCTAGGTAGTCAGTGTTATAATTTACTTGCAGGATGTCCAGATGGTGTCTAGAGTTGGGAGAATTAGCTGGTTTGGGAAAAACCCACACATCTGCCATTTGGTGTCAGAAGTGAAGTATATGAAAGTACAGTACAGAAAAAAGTTTTTGTTTTTTGAGTTTTTCTCCTTTACTCCCCATGCCCTCAATTCATCTGCTGAAGCTTGAATCCCCCACGTGATATTTTCCATTAGAGCTCATTCCCTCTGTCATGTAAGGAGACAGCAAGAATGTACCATCATCAATAAACCAGAAAGACAGCCCTCATCAGACACTAAATCTGAGGGGACCTTGACCTTGGACTTCCCAGACTCTAGAACTGTGAGAAATAAATCTTTTATTTAAGCCACTTAGTCCAAGAGAATTTTGTTATAGCACCCCAAATTGCCTAAGATAGATCCCTGCCTACTATTGTTCATGTCTTATGGAATCTCTTCCCCTTGAGTATGGCCTGGACTAGCAATTTGATTCTGACCAATGGAATGTGGCAAAGTTGATGGGATGTCACTTATGTGATTAGGTTACAAAAAGTTATGGCTTCATCTTGCTAGCAGATTCTCTACTGCCTTCTTGGCCTGTATATTTTCATGAAGCAATATCCTAGGTTATTTATTTATTTCCTGATACCGGGGATCGAACTTTGGACCTTGCATTTGCCAAGCAGGTACAGTGCCACTGAGCTACATTCCCCGGCCCAATATGCCATGTTAGAGGCCAGGTAGCAGGGAACTAAAAGGTGGCCTTCAGCCAACATAGCTGAGTTTTTCAGTCCAACAATCCACAAAGAACTAAATTCTACTAAAAATTATGTGAGCTAGAAAGTGGATCTTTCCCCGGTTGAGCCTTAAGATGAGACTCCAGACCTGGCAAACACTTGATGGCAGCTTTGTGAGAAACTTTGATGCAGAGGACCTAGCTAAATTATACTCAGGTCTCCAGACTCATAGACTATGTAAAACAATATGTGTGTGCTATTCTAAATCACTATGTTTTGGGGTAGTTGTTACACAGCAAGAGATAACTACTATACTTCTATATTCAAATTATCCTTTTTGAATGAAGAAATAAATTCACAATGGGCCATGGATAAATTAGCTTTTCTTGACTGGTTTTTCCAAAGAGGCAATTCCCAGTGGGCTCCTGGATAGCTTCAGGGTGGGGCTTGTCACCAGAAAAACCAAGCCATTAGAATCTGAAACTTTCCACCCATCCCATTAGTTTTCCATTGGTGTTATTAATTCAGGAACCACTCCAATATCCACTGAAGTTCTCTCCCTTTCTCTGCTTGGCTCCTCATAATTTATATCACTAAAAATATAATAAGACATGAATAAGATCTGGCCCTAGAAGCACTTCTAGGTCAATTGGGAGTTACATATTATCCAATTCCAAAGTGATGGCCATACAGTCTTGGATAGATAAATAGCACAGTCCAGTTTAATAAATTTTATCTCCACTTACTCTTTTAAGCATATAAAAATGTGTGTGTGTGTGTGTGTGTGTGTGTAGACACACACACATACATTTAAACATTTCCTTTGGCCATCTAACCAGCTCATTTTAAATTGGCAAGAACTACCTCTGCTAACTCAAATACTCACCCTTCCCCCTTTAAGCCTAGTGGTTACCCGTATCCCTTGCGTCACACACGGTTCAAATATAACACATGTGGTTCACCACAAAATGTTAAAATGCATCTTTCGGAAACAAACCAAATCTCTATAGTAGCAAATGTAAACACAATAACTCTAAGAAGTAGCAGTCCATTGTTCAGTGGGGCCCTGGCTTGGGAATGTCGGGGTTTTAGAGTTTAAACAACTGCAGAGAGAACCATTTCTAGTCAGGGGCATATGACTTAAGCTGAGTTTGTTAAAGGGACCTTACATATGGAAACCTGAGCCATACATTTAATGGTTCTTAATAAGAACTACTTGATCATAACCATCTTGGTATTTTACTCTAATTTTTTGTCTCATTTATTCCATTATCCTCACAAGTAAGCATGTTATTAGGTATTAGTCTATAGAGAGCCCAGGCATATAATCATAAATATTAAGGTTGGACATGAGCAAGGACATGGCTGCATTAATGCAGCTGGAACCTATAAGCTTTATTAACAATTCAGCAAACAAAAGCCAGGCAGCTTGCTTCTCAATGGTGCAGTGAGGTCCCAAAACACACCATGAGGTAGATCACTGGGATCACATGTACTCTGTTGCTATTCTAATCCCTTTGAACACCAATGGTCTGAGGCATCATCCTTGCTCACTAAATCCAACACTGACCAAACACTCTCCATTCTACCTCCTAAAATAGTATGTGCATCTGTATGTGCCTCTCTATCCATAGTACTAACCCTAAGTACTGCCACTTCCCCAGGTGAGGCCTCTATCTCTTCTCACTTAGACCACTGCAGCTGACTCTCCTATTCCATCTCCATTTCTGGCTTATCTACTCTAATATAGGTAGTACAGTGCAACCAAAATAATCCTTACAGTACATGCCAGGCAGGAGGAATGACAAGTGTAGAGGACTCAGGCAAGAATAATCTTGGCCTTTGCAGTAACAGTAAAGACTGAGCCTGACCAGTTACAGGGGGAGGGAAGGAGAGCAGCAGCTGGAAAGGTATGTGAGCCCTGCCTCAGACCCATAAAGCTCCCTGGTTGCCACATAGAATAAAATCCAGATCTTCTCACATGGTATGTAATGGCCTACCTCATCTGTGCTGTTTCTCTTTCTTTTTTCCCACCTCTCCCTCTACCCCTTGGCTAACTTCTATATGAAGGCCAAATTACAGTACATTTGCAAATTTCTAAGTGTACTTTGCTCTTTGGCCTCTGAAATTTTACACCAGCTATCACCTCTGCTTAGAATACTCTCCTTAAGCTTAATGCCTACTTAAGATTCAGCTTGAGCACCACTTTCCCTGGAAAGCCCATCACCCTGTCATCCTCTCTTTGCCCTCCACAAAAAAGAGAGGTATAGTCCCCTGCTGTGCAGTCCTATAGCAGTCTATGCTGAGTTTGATTCTAATACATTTTTGCCTTTCTCCTGATATAAACCAAAGACAACTTAAGGG